TGAAACAAACAGAGCAGCATCACTGTCAGCATCACGCTCACAGCTGACATCTTTCCTCAAATCAATATTATTGTTTTGTTTTCAGCCGCCTTTGTTTCTCCAGCAAAGGTGGAGCTGAGACTGGGAGCTGCCCAGCAGAACCAGTCTGAGGCGGAGGCAGCCGCGCCGGATCAGGGCGTGGAGACAACCGAAGAAGAAGAAGAAGAAGAAGAAGAAGAAGAGTTCACGTGGAAGGTCGAGGGCGTCTTCGTCAGAGAGGGAGGGGTCAGTTTTTTATTCATAAAGACGGTTAATAACTTTAGAGGAGAAAAAAGACTCGCTCTGGTTTGAAGAACTTTTGTATAAAATTAAATCTTCTTACAAACATGATCAGGGAATTTATCACAGAGTAACTAACTGTAAGGTTATATTATTAACAGTATCTTACTGTTCTGTTAAATTATCTACAGAGTAAATAACTGTACTGTTATATTATCTACAGTAAATTACTGCACTTTTATATTATCTACAGAGTAACTTAATGTAAGGTTATATTATTAACAGTATCTTACTGTTCTGTTATATAATCTACAGTAAATTACTGTTCTGCTATATTATTTACAGTGAGTTACTGTTCTGTTAAATTATCTACAAAGTAACTAACTGTACTGTTATATAATCTACAGTAAATTACTGCACTATTATATTATCTACAGAGTAACTTACTGTAGTTTGATATCTACTGTAACTTACTGTACTTTTATATTATTTACATTAACTTACTGTACTGTTATAAGATCTAGAGTAAATTACTGTAGTTTAATATCTACAGAGTAAATGACTGTACTGTTATATTATTTACAGTAATTAACTGTACTTTTATATTATCTACAGAGTAACTTACTGTACCTAAATATATTTTACAGTAACTTACTGTTATATTATTAACAGTAACTAACTGTACTTTTATATTATCTACATTATCTTATTGTACTGTTATACTATCTACAGTAACTTGTTGAACTGATATATTATTTACAGTAACATAGTGTACTCTTATATTATTTACAGTAACTAACTATATTGTTATAAGATCTACAGTGTTGCTTACTGTACTGTTTTATTATTTAAAGTAACTTACTGTACTGTTATATTATGAACAGTAACCTACTGTTCTGTTTTAATATTTACAGTAACTTACTGTACTGTTATATAATCTTAAGTGTAGCTGACTGCACTGTTTTATTATTTATACAGTAACTTACCGTACTATTATATTATCTACAGTAACTAACTGCACTGTTTTAATATTTACAGTAACTTACTGTATTTTTAAAAGATCTACAGTGTTGCTTACTGTACTGTTCTATTATTTTAAGTAACTTACTGTACTGTTATATTATGAACAGTAACCTACTGTTCTGTTATATATTATTTACAGTAACTTACTGTACTATTATATTATCTACAGAGTAACTTACTGTACCTATATATATTTTACAGTAACTTACTGTTATATTATTAACAGTAACTAACTGTACTTTTATATTATCTACATTATCTTATTGTACTGTTATACTATCTACAGTAACTTGTTGAACTGATATATTATTTACAGTAACATAGTGTACTCTTATATTATTTACAGTAACTAACTATATTGTTATAAGATCTACAGTGTTGCTTACTGTACTGTTTTATTATTTAAAGTAACTTACTGTACTGTTATATTATGAACAGTAACCTACTGTTCTGTTTTAATATTTACAGTAACTTACTGTACTGTTATATAATCTTAAGTGTAGCTGACTGCACTGTTTTATTATTTATACAGTAACTTACCGTACTATTATATTATCTACAGTAACTAACTGCACTGTTTTAATATTTACAGTAACTTACTGTATTTTTAAAAGATCTACAGTGTTGCTTACTGTACTGTTCTATTATGAACAGTAACCTACTGTTCTGTTGTATATTATTTACAGTAACTTACTGTATTATTTTATCATTTTCGGTAACTTACTGTTCTTTTATGTTATTTACAGTAACTTACTGTTCTGTTCTGTTATTTACAGTAACCCACTGTTCTGTTGTATCATGTCTTTCATCTGAACTGTAAAAACGTATCTGTTGAATAAAATCAACCTTCACTGTCAGAGTCATCTAGATTATCGACTCTGTATATTAAATACAGAATCTACTCTCCGGTCTACATCGACACGTCTGATAATCAGATCTTTTAAAAACAGGATCCCAGTCTGGGTTCTTGCTCAGCTCTGAGGTCTTTTCTCAGACCTGAAGTGACGGACTGAGGAGGACTCTGCTGGACCCGCACAGAACAGAACCAGAACTGCATCCGAATTTAGAGTTTGAACTGAGCCTGGCTGTGTACTTTATAATCTGTGTGTGTATGTGTGTTTAAGTCTGTGTGTTTAAGTGTGTGTTTGTGTGTGTGTGTGGGTGTAAGCTCTGGGTTTTCTGTTTTCCCAACAGTCTCTCTGAGTTTACAGACACAAAGACTTCAGCATCAGATCCCCTCAGCTCCTCCTGTCCCCTGGGTCTGTGTCTCATATAAAACATCATATCACTGTTTCTGACTCTGTGTGTGTGTGTGTGTGTGTGTGTGTGTGTGTGAGATCAGGGACTCAGTAACTCTCTAACAGTCTGTCACTGTTTATCTCTTTGTCTCTTTGTTGTCGTCCTCCTTCCTCCCTCTTCGTTTTTCTGGATTTTTCTCTTTTTATTTTTCCCTCCAGAAAAATCAGAATATTTGATTCTTCACTTTGTTTACGATTTAAAATCCAGTTTACAGCGAGTCAGATATATCCTGTATTTCTGTTAAAACCAAATCAGCATCATTTCGTACTGCGGTGGCTGAGAGCTCAACTTTCTACGCCGTAAATATGTCTGTTTACTTAGATTTTTTTAAGATGGCTCATTTATTCCCCCAAATAAACCTCTTCTTACCCACTTGGTCGACGACATTATGCAACAAAAACGGCGTGTTTACCTGCTTTAACGTTAGCTTCATACGCCATTAAACTGAGCTAGTTTGATTCACTGTATTAGAAATTTTTGCAAAAACAAAAATTATATAAATACGTAAAATTTTAGATTTGGGACAAAATGTTTAAACACGTTTTTGATTATCTGTTTTAGGAATAAGTGCCAACCCTCAGCCTGTATAAATAAACCTGATCCGTAAATGCTAAAACTGCAATACCAGGAGTGTCCACTAGAGGCTGTCTGCAGAAACCACATACACAACAGTTCAAAAAAACCAAAATAAATATCTTTACAGCCTGTTTTAGTCTGAACAGCTCAGGTTTCTCTCGGAGTTAATCTGTTTTATAACCCGCTCATTTCAAAGGTTTCGGGATTATGAGTTTGGCGAGGAAGAGGCGGGGACACTGACGCTGTAAATGTGGACGAAGGCTCTTCCTGTTTCACCGTCTGTTTCAACAGACAGACAGGTGTGAACACATCCAAACACAATAGCAGCCCAACATCTCTGCAAACACACAACGCAGAAATTAATAAAAGTACGTGAACGTTTCACGAACAGTTTCCAAAAGTCTCCGCCCCCAAACACGTCATCATCAAAAACCAGAATTCTTGACCTTGAACTTTTTTTATGTGTGAACAGGAAGACAAAACTCAGACGTAAAGATACCAACGTTTCTGTGAACATCTGCACGTGTGGTCGTAACCTTAGAGGTGGTTATTTTAAATACGATAAAATAGCGCAGTTCGAATAAAAACACAGAAACAGTTAAATAAGGTTTACATGAGCGTGCTGGACCAGTAGGGGGCGATAAAGCATCAAAACACCTGCAGAATTTTGTGCACATGCATGTCGAACGCTGTCAAACAACCAAGTGTCGTACTTATCCGTGCCTACGCTCCCCTACCATCTCACTGAGGGGCGGGGCTAACAGTCTATGGCTGCACCAATCAGAGGACTTGTTGATTTGTTGAAATAAGGAAAAGAACTGACACTTCCTACCTGTCCAGACTCAGGTATAATCCGACACTGTGTCTGTATAAACACGCAGACATGTTTGTGTAATCGGAAACTCGGGTCTGAACCGTCAGTTTTCTGCTGAGTCAGCGTCTGCTCGCTGAGACCGTCTTCCAGGTCGTGAATTCCTGAAGTTCCTCACAGACCAGAGCTTCCAGTAAACCCAGACGACGGCGTGCAGCACTCAGGTGTAGTGTTACCGCGCTGCGGCGGGTTGTGTTACCGTGTTTGAGTTCAGGGTTTGTTGTTGTGGAGGTAAAAGGTGATGAGATATTTCCTCGTCTGAAACACGATCAAACCGAACAAAAGACAACAAACAGGAAAACAACCGTGTGTGTGTGTGTGTGTGTGTGTGTGTGTGTGTGTATGAGGTGATTTAAGGACCAACAACATCCAGCACCGCTGACGTCTGACAGCTCTATAAATACAGACACACAAAACAGACGACAGCTGTTATATTCTATACGTCTGAGACAACAGACAACCTGCTGCTGCGGCTGGAGTCTGAGTATAGAGAATAATACAGGAGAGCTTAGACCAGGACCAGGACCAGGACTGGACCAAACCAGGACTCAGAAACACAGAGAACTGGACTAACTAGGATTTAAAACCTAGATTGTTTGGATTGGTCCAAACAAGGCTGACATGGAACCAGGGTTCAAACACAAGGTCAAAGAAAGTTAGTACTGCACCAAACCAGGACCTGAACCTCCTAACCCCCACCAAAGAGGGACTTAACCCCCAATTTCCACCTTCATCCTGATCGTCTCCTAAAAGGTCGTATCCTCCGATCGTAGCTGATCGTAACCATTCAAGTTAACGTGTCAATTTACACCGACTTCTTTCCGTTCCTCTGAGGATCGCCGGACTCCTCAGCTGATCACAAGAGTTCTATTTTTTCTGGACGCCGGAGCATGGCGGATAAATTCAGCACAGATTAACCCGTGCTGGAAAGGAAGTCGGGCACAGACACAAAATAAAACATCCGGCTAGAAGTCTAGAAGTAGATTTCCTCCTCTGGAAGGACACAATCTACTGCTTATATGTCTATGTGTCTGTCTTTAGAGAGACAACTCGTTATCACGCGATTGAACGTGAATCCACGGGTTCTTGTGAGTTCTCGCGATTCCTGCTGTCCGTAATCCGCCATGAAATTCGCCTCACAAATGAATCCGGTAAAAATTAGATTTCCTCCTCCTTTACTACTGTAGTAAAATGAAAAGGTAAAGGTGTTTTTATTGAGCCGAATTATCAATAAAATCATGATTTTGTTAACAGGTCTGGATTTATGTGCTGTCGAGTTAATATATTAGAACAAGAGCACAGTAAAGTTAAATCAGCTAATTTTCCAATGAGGTTCTGTTACTGAACGGAACTACACCATGATCTACTGAGGTTAGTACATATAGGGTCACAGACATAGTACTAGACACCAAACATCTTTTTAACTTTGACTCATTTCTTTAGCAAAGAGACTAAACACAACTCACCTACTCTCTTCCAGCAGACGCTTGTTTGTAGTGAGACCTCAGGCCAGTCTATTACGGACTACAGCGGGGTGCCGCAGCTCAAGGAAGAACATTTATGATCATTTCTTCATCATTTCCTTGAAGTAATTAATCACCATATTAATCATTTTACAGACGCTGTAGTTCTTCTGTCTTAGCGTCTGATTGTATTTCCATGAAGAAATGATCATAAATGTTTGTTTTTTAAAAGCTCTGCTACAGCGGGAACACCGGCAGCTACTTCTTCTTCATTTCTCCTGTTTTATGATGCGACGACTAAGAACTGAAAATGTTTGTTTTCAGATGAACATGGATATCTATTTTTTTAAAGATGGTTATTATCAGTCCTGTCACAGTGAACCTGATTTGATCCTGTTTTTGTCCTGAAAGTTTCATCGTTTCTGCTCGAATGTTTGTTTGGGACGTTTGACAAACTGAAGTGTGAGAGGGTCTTTGTTTCAGGTTCAACACTTCTTTAAAAAACAAACAGGAAAATAAAACTTTGGACTCTGCAGACGACAGAAAACAACAACCAGATCTCACATCCTCATCATCATCATCATCATCATCATCATCATCATCTTCATCATCGATCTGAAATCAAAACAAGGAAAACAGCAAATAAACGCCGTCTGTGAGAGACAGAAGAAGAAGAAGAAGAGGCAGGTGTGTGTGTGTGTGTGTGTGTGTGTGTGTGTGAAGTGAAAGTGTATACATGCATCTGTGCCTTTGTGTCTTTGTGTAGCGACTGTGTGTGTGTGTGTGTGTGTGTGTGTGTGTGTGTGTTAATCATCGTCAGACTACCATCAGGCCAGGTGGTGTTGTCTTTAAATCCAAGTCCCAGCTGTACCTGCTCCACCTAATAACTCGGAGTGTGTGTGTGTGTGTGTGTGTGTGTCATGGGATGTGGTTGATGATCCAATTCACTGGAGGCGGCAGCGGCGGCGTTTCCCACTCCCCCTAAATCACACCTCCACACCCTCAATACCCTCAACGCCGCATTAAATCTGCCACTGTTGTTTGTGTGTTTGTTTCTGTGTATGTGTGTTTAAGTGTGTGTGTGTGTGTTTAAGTGTGTGTGTGTGTGTGAATTTTCACAGGCCGCCATTTTCCCCCATGAGCTCGTCTTTTCTTGTTCTCTCTCTCATCCCTCGTCCCTCCTTTTTGTCTCATTTTTTTCCCATGATGCCTTGGAAACACACACAATGATGCTGTGTGTGTGTGTGTGTGTGTGTGTGTGTGTATGTGTGTGTGTGTGTGAGTGTTTAGACAACATGCTATTGTTACAGGGAGACAGAGACAGAAGGAGAGAGAGAGATTTTCACACAGCGACCAGGACAGAGCTGATGTGGTGGAAGGAATTATGTGTGTGTGTGTGTGTGTGTGTGTGTGTGTGTGTGTGTGTGTGTGTGTGTGTGTGTGTGTTGGTCATCTGTTGACGGACAGCTGCTGGAGGTTGATGGAGGTGAAGAAGCTGCAGAGACGTTCAGGTTGGACCTTCATTATTTTAAAGCTCCTGTGGGGAACTCTTTTTTGTGGCGCCCCCTAGTGGATAAAACAGCCTATCTTGTCTTCTACATGCTTAAAGGGATATTCCGCCGTTTTTGACTGACATCCTATGAGTCACAGGATGTCATTAGGCTCCGCCCCTTCACTGAGAAACTGCAGAGAGAGCGGCGGTTCATAAGCAAGGCTGATGGTTGACTCAGAACCAAAGATCTCACCAGGATCTAGGTTTCACATGTCTATAGATCTGCGCTCACGATCTAGACTGTCAACACTCCTGACATCACAGGAATGACCAGAAAACTAACCAATCACGCGTCACCTCGACACCTCCTCCAAGAGAAGGAGACGCCGTTCAACTTGTCTCTCTCTGTACTCCATCATTGCAGCACTTGGTTGCCGTGACAACCGTCTTCAGGCCAATCCAAGCCAATCAACCGGTGGGGGGGGGGGGGTTCAACAGGAAGAGAGCAAACACACACACACACACACACACACACACACACACACACACACACACACACACACACACACACACACATAAACACAATATTATGAACTGACATGACTTAGAGACACAGAAGAAGTCCAAACATTTAGGGACAAAAACAAACACACACATCTACTACACAAACACACACACACACACACACACACACACAAACACATACACACACATACACGCACACACACACGCACACTGCATGTACACACTGACATAAACATGGCTCCTACATAAACAGACATTACGGTCTGTGTGTGTTTGTGTGTGTATGTGTGTTCTTTTGTGTTTCCTTAAATGTCGGTGTGTGAGTTTATGTCTGTGTGTGTGTGTGTGTTTGTGTAGTAGATGTGTGTGTGTGTTTGACGTCCTACACCAGCAGACAGGGAGAAGCTGTTGCTGTCACTTCAACTAAACAAAGAAAAGGCTGCCGGCTCTCTGACACACACACACACACACACACACACACACACACACACACACACACACACACACACACACACACACACACACACACAAAGATTCACACACTGTCAGGACTTGGCAGAGAGAAAACCAGCTGGTGGATGTACCGGGAGCAGACAGTGTGTGTATATTTGTGTGTATCTGTGTGAGTGTGTGTGTGTGTGTCTGTGTGTGTGTGTGTGTGTGTGTGTGTGTGCGTGGAGCAGGGAGGTCTGCAGGTATGGACAGCAGATGCAGGATGGGAGACAGTTGCCATGGTTACCTCTGTTTGTGACGATGCAGGTAAAGTACCTTTAGACTCTACCTGCATGTTCACGCTCAACGCTTCAGTTATGGTCGTTAATGACCCTGATGATGTCAGAGTGATGTCACAGAGGTATATGGCGCTCGGAGGCGAGGAAACACCTGAACCAAAATACACCGAAGGTACTGGTACTGGGTACTATAGACCGTTCAAAGGAGACCTCAGACCGGGTTCAAGGAGGAGGAGCTGGAGTGGAGGCGGGCAGAGCAGCAGCAAAGACGTTTCAGAGAAGAACTTAAAATTCTGATGAAAAAAGTCATAAAAACTCTTTTAACATCAACTTACCGGCAACCATGGATGAGGAGATGCTGATTCTAGAAGTCTAGAAGTAGATTTCCTCCTCTGGAAGGACACGATCTACTGCTTATATGTCTATGTGTCTGTCTTTAGAGAGACAACTCGTTATCGCGAGATTGAACGTGAATCTGCAGGTTCTTGTGAGTTCTCGTGATTCCCGTTGTTCGTAATCCAATTTGGGAAATTCGCCTCACAAACGGATCCGGTAGGAATTGGCGTACGGCAAAACTCGCTGCCGTTCCAGATCAGAGGCATTCTAGATGCGATGGAAATCCTTGGTTATAATTCGGTTTTCTCGAGTGTCGTGTAAACCGACTGACTGAGTCACTTAAAACTGAACCAGAGAAATTGTTGAGACGAACTTTTTCTGCAACATCTCCAGAAATTTTCCTGGACAATTGACTGAATCACATCTCCCTCGTCATGAAATCCGCCTCACGAACAGATCCGGCAGGAATTGGCGAACGGCGTCGCGGTGGAAATCCCGGGTTAAACTTCCACTTTCATCTGTAAAGGAACCTGCCGAGTCCTGCGGCCTTAAATCTAAAATCTGGACTCATTTTCTCGACAGTTTGGATCTTTAACTTTTTCTCTGGATCTTAGACTCTCGTGGTCTGGATTCGGGCGGTAAATCTAATCCTCCTCGTATCGTGGGCGTTCGGTCTACTCGGGGACGTTTTAACCTTTTCGACTCAGACTGTAAATGTGGCGTTTAAGTGCGACAATAAAACGGGATAAAACAGCTCTTTTGTTTTCTAAGCTTCGCTCGGAGCGACGCAGCAAAACAGAGAAAGCAGAGACACAAACTGTTTGTGTGGCGGCTGAAATCGGCGTCCCATCAAGGCCAAATAGCGGCGCTATCATCATCATCATCATCATCATCATCGCCATCATGGTATCTCTATTTCTTCTCTCTCCGCGACACGACGCCTACTTAGGATGCACTTCTGGGCTTTAGATGTCTCCGTCTGGCACCCACCTCCCCTCCTGTGCGAGCGCTCTGACACCTGAGGAGATTGAACATCCCGTCGCTTTTGTCAGACTAAATATGTTTCGCTATTTGGCGGCGCCATTAGAGAGCAGATTTTTTTGCTTTTTCCACCATTGTTATGCTGCGAGTATTCATATCAGCCTCTCTTTTCTGTCTCTGCCGGCTGCAGCGGGGTGGTTGGTGGGGGCACGGCGGCGGCAGAGGGGCGACGCATTAGCGGCGTTTTAGATGCGTCCGGGCTGACAGCAGATATTAGCGGCGGGGGATTTTCTCCCGTGTGCCTTTTGTCAGAGAGCTGTCAGTCTCCGGGCTCGGCTCGGCTCGGCAGACTGTTAACTGGGTTTGCTGAAATTGGCTTGTGAGTGTAAGGACAATAGCAACAGCAGGGAGGGGGGGGCGGGGGGTGAGTTAAGTGAGTGTGTTCTGGAGGAGAGATAGACGAGTGAGCGAGCGAGAGAGAGAGAGAGAGAGAGAGAGAGAGAGAGAGAGAGGTTTATAGTCGATGTTTAACAGAGATGTAATGAGCCGCTGAGATTAGAGAGAAGAAACACTTTGTTTTTGATTTAAGGATCTGAATATTTCAACAATAACACACAAAAACAACAAAAAACAGATATGAGACGGCGGCTAGGACACAAACACAACCACAAAGTTACATACACAACAACAAAGACACAAAAACAACAAGAAACGACAATATACAGACATGAGACAGCTGCTAGGACAAACAAACACAACCAAAAAACACAAATACACAAAAACGACCAGAAAGATACAAAAACACAAATACACAAAACAACAAAATATACCCTTGGGAGGGCTGCAAAGACACGAAAACAACCACGAAGACACAAAAACACAAACATACAAAGCAACAAAAAATACCCTTCAGAGGGCTGCTGGGACACACAAACACAACCAGAAAGACACAAAAACAACAAAGACACAAAACACAAAAACAACGACAAAGGTACAAAAACAACAAAATTCAGATATGTCAGGGCTGTATTACAAAAGATACAAAACCACAAAGACACAAAAACACAAAGGCACAAAAAGACCACAAAGACACAACCACAATGACAGAAAAACAAACAAACAAACAAAAACACAATAACAACAAAGCATATACATGAAGGGGCTGATAGGACAAACAAACAACTACAAAGACACAAACACAACCACAAAGAGACACAAACACAAGTGTCCGAAAGACAATTTAAAGACACAAAAATGTCAAAAAAAGGAAAACAATATCTATCAATCTACCAAATTAGAGACACAGACAAATGTCCAAAAGGGATCATGAAAAACCAGTAAGAGACAAACCAGAGACACAATATGTCCAAAAGTCCAAACAGTCCACATTAAGACACAAACATCAACAAATCAGACACTAAAAATGTCCAAAAAGGACTTGAGAGACACTAATTGTCGTTACAGAGACAATAAAGACAAAGAAACTCACAGTGTCCCTGAACAGATGACAAACACACACAAAGAGACATATGTGAGACAAGAGGAGACTTCAGATGAAGTTACATAAATGTCTCTCTGCTGCAGCGAAGACGACGACGATGATGATTCAGCGCCAAATAAAAAGCTGAAATAACGACGTTTACATCTGAATAACTTCATGAGGGTGACATAACCGGGTCTGAGCGAAGTTTAGGAGACGAACCGAGAGTCACAGTTTCACATCCATCACATTTAAAACCAGGAGGAGGATAAAAACTGAAATATTCAGTTAAAAGAGGTTTAAATCTGTTAAAAAGGAGTTTAAAAGAGACTCAACTCAACAACTACAGCCGTGTGTTCACTGACATGTTGTTGAATCTGCAGTTTGGGACCTAAACAGTTTACTGAAGTGAAGTCCGAGACTCTCCGACAGTTTAAAGTTTGTGTGTGAGTCTCCAAAGTGATAAAAAACACGGATTGTTCCTTTAATTCAGAGAGTTTTTGAATTTTTCAGGATCTAAACTCTGAAGAAAGAAGGAGGGAGGTCAGGCCGAGTCTGATGTATGATCCTCTAATGAGCTGACCAATTGGCTGCTGATGGAGACGAGGAATATGGCGAACACACACACACACACACACGCTCACACACACGCTCACAGCTCCCTCCCTCCCCGGTGTGTGATCCATTGTGTGTGTGCTGAGTGAGTCGGTGAAGGTTGGGTCCTAAACACAGCGGCCGATAGATCAGACGGAGCTGAAGTTTGACTCCAAACACTCGGGGATCAGCTGGAGGTCGAGAACGACCGAAACCAACCAGAGAAGAAGAAGAAGAGCGATTACCAACAGACAGACAGCTGAGCGCCGTTTAGACCCGCTGATTAAAGTCCGTCAGTAAATATTAAGACCGACCTATCAGCTGGAGGGAGGTCACGGTCGTGTTCTCAAAAACTCTCCTGAGGTGATAAAACTTGGCTTTCAACGACAACAGGTTCACAGGGCGATGAAAACAAACACAAACGGTTTCTGTTAGCAACTCCAAAAAACCGCTACTGAGGTAGAGACGCAGAAAAATAACGAAATACTGAGAAACAAAATCAACCAGAGAACCTTTGAATGAAAACAGGACAACAGTTGTCCTGTTTTCAACAAAGAATTATGGAATCTTACACTAAACATCTCAAGCTAGTCCAGTTGTCGTGTTTTTAACGAAGAATCCTGGACTCTCTTTAAAAAGTCGAGCGCCCACATGAAAAACCAGCTTCCTGATGGTCTGGGGATCATCAGAGTCCACGTCATGATGAAACAAAGTCGCCATATTCCCTCTAACCCCGGCGCTAAAACGCCGTGACACGATCGTCACTCGTCAGGGCAAAGTCGTCAAACATTCAGAACCAGTATGACCCAGCGAGAGCGTCAAACGCCGAAACAGGAAGCTGACAACCCGCTAAATTAAAAGCTTTGTGTTGTCTTGTATCTGTTACTAAACCTGACGTAGTGAAGTGTGTGTGTGTGTGTGTGTGTCTGTGTGTGTGTGTGTGTGTGTGGGGAGTGATAATCTGAACTTACACACAGACAGAAGTCACATGAATACATTCACACTCCTGACAGACACACACCCTGCCCCCCCGAGTGTGTGTGTGTGTGTGTGTGTGTGTGTGTGTGTGTGTGTGTGTGTGTGTGTAAATATGAGATCAACACACCAAGTTTGTGCAGACATGTGTGTGTGCATATCTAAGTGTGTGAAGGTGTTAAAACATGCATATACATCGATGTATGTCCATGGAAGTGAACACATGGGGGACGAGTGTTTGAATACATGTTTGACACACACACACACACACACACACACACGCACGCACACACACACACACACACACACACACACACACACACACACACACGCTCTCTGCCTGTGATTACAGACTCTCACAGAGGAGCTCCTGAAGTTTAAATCCTGATCAATAAATAAACGAATAAATCAAATCAGTGACTCGTCTAAAATCAGAGTCTCTACACGAGCTCAGAGGAAACCGCAGCAGCGTTCAGCGCCACTTCCTCCTCCTCCTCCTTCCCTCGCTCAAAGAAACATCCATCTCTCGGAGGTCACTCCGGGATCAGGACTGCCTCTTTCCTGTCCTGGGTTTGATTGACAGGCTGTCACAGCACACGGATTCGACCAATAACAGCGGCCGACACTGACTCCTCTTTGTTTACAGTATCAGACTGTGATGTCGATTCAGATCAGCGTTGTGTTGGGCGCCGGCGGCGGCCATGACGCTTCCTTCAATGAGAGTTACCATCAGCTGTTGAACATGTGGACCTGAGAGGGACCTGAAGGGGGTCACTCAGAGACCTAAGACTGCAGACCACATGAGAGGAAACTAAATCTGTTCTTCTGAACGTTAGAAAACACGGTGGATGAATCTCCTTCTCCTCTCAGTGGACAAAAGTGAAGCCAAAATATACAAAAACCAGCTGGTTCTGGAGACGACCGACAATCCTCTAAAATTCAACTATAAAAGGAAGACATGGACCACAGACCTTTTCTCTGTACAGCTCTGTTTTTAGAAGTTATTAGGCGGTTCATTTTTCTTTGATTGACACCTGATACAGCCTATAGGAGGACAGAGATTGTAAGCTCTCCCAGGGGATACGGTGTTTGAGCCGAGCGTCATCACAGCGACTCTCAGCGACTTTGCCGCTGAATGCGCACAACGCTACTGCGCAATGTTGGTTTTAGAAAGTGGAGAAAAATCGCAGAATTACAGAGAGTGTTTTAGCTTCAGTTCTGTATACTGGCGGGAGGCGGAACCAAGTTGTCCAGAGTATAAACAGTCTATGAGTGTGACCAACGGAACTCTTCCTTTATGATGTCACACATTAGATCAATGAGACCAAAAACTTCTTCTGTTCTAAGTTCTTATTGAGGGCGAAAATTCCGGAATCCCCTTTGATGTCCTTGATGTTTTGATCTCATTGAAGATCAGCTGTTCTGAATAACACACTAACAAACACACACATGCACACACACACACACACACACACACACAAACACACAAGTAAGATGCAGGCAGTATTGTGTGTGGGGTGCATACAACACTACTATGCAATGTTGGTGAAGTTAGTTTCAGGTTGGATATATTTTCCTGTAAATACGGCGGTGAAGTTAGTTTCAGGTTGGATATATTTTCCCGTAAATACAGCGGTGAAGTTAGTTTTAGGTTGGATATATTTTCCTGTAAATATGGCGGTGAAGTTAGTTTTTGGTTGGATATATTTTCCTGTCAATACGGCGGTGAAGTTAGTTTCAGGTTGGATATATTCTCCTGTAAATATGGCGGTGAAGTTAGTTTCAGGTTGGATATATTTTCTTGTAAATACGGTGGTGAAGTTAGTTTCAGGTTGGATATATTTTCTGTAAATATGGCGGTGAAGTTAGTTTCAGGTTGGATATATTTTCCTGTTAATACGGCGGTGAAGTTAGTTTCAGGTTGGATATATTTTCCTGTAAATACGGCGGTGAAGTTAGTTTTAGGTTGGATATATTCTCCTGTAAATACGGCGGTGAAGTTAGTTTCAGGTTGGATATATTTTCCTGTAAATACGGCGGTGAAGTTAGTTTCAGGTTGGATATATTTTCCTGTAAATACGGCGGTGAAGTTAGTTTCAGGTTGGATATATTTTCCTGTAAATACGGCGGTGAAGTTAGTTTTAGGTTGGATATATTTTCCTGTAAATACGGCGGTGAAGTTAGTTTCAGGTTGGATATATTTTCCTGTAAATATGGCGGTGAAGTTAGTTTCAGGTTGGATATATTTTCCTGTAAATATGGCGGTGAAGTTAGTTTCAGGTTGGATATATTTTCCTGTAAATATGGCGATGAAGTTAGTTTTTGGTTGGATATATTTTCCTGTAAATATGGCGGTGAAGTTAGTTTTAGGTTGGATATATATTCTCCTGTAAATACGGCGGTGAAGTTACTTTTTGGTTGGATATATTTTCCTGTAAATACGGCGGTGAAGTTAGTTTCAGGTTGGATATATTCTCCTGTAAATATGGCGGTGAAGTTAGTTTTTGGTTGGATATATTTTCCTGTAAAAACGGCGGTGAAGTTAGTTTTAGGTTGGATATATTTTCCTGTAAATACGGCGGTGAAGTTAGTTTTAGGTTGGATATCTGACGGACATTCTCTGAGGATCTACCGGTGTCTTCTCACTCTCCATAACCGGGAATAACAACAGCAGCGCGGTTAAATCTACTCGACACCCTCACTGTCAACGTCGGTGTTGAATAAGGGACCGTCAATAAATTACCGGTTGATGTTCTCAGAAAAGGCTGTTTTCCTTCAATAGCTTCCATGTCATGTGATTAAAAGACCTAAAATTGATTTCTAATAATAGTATGAAGGTCGATCAATGAGACAAACATTATTGATTAATTTTCATTGTTCCCCTAAAGTTCTTTGTGTGCTCCATGTGAAAAAAGTTCACCTGCTCTGAGGTTTGATGGAAACAAACATGCACAACTATGAATACGGGCCTGAAGGAGACGCCTGTGTGTTTACACCTGTGCAGGTAAAGAGTGAGACGGTAAAGACTGAGCAGAATTTACTGAAGGAGGATATTTTTTTTGTAGTAAATCTGACCTGCTCTCTAAACAGTTTGAAGTTTTGTGTTTTTTAGTGTGACTTTTTTCAGGAATACTGTCCCTTTAAGCAGAAAAATGAGGTGAACTGAAAGTACTTTGAAATAAATCAATCTGAGGATTTTAAAGTGATTTTTATAAACAGTCACAGAATAAAAAAATCTGTGAAACTCCTGATAAAGAAATCTGACGTGATGTTTGATAAAAGCTGCAGAGCTGATTTCTGTTCAACAAACATCCTCCTGTTAAAACATCCAGCTGTCTGCGTCCCTGCATACAAAGCAGCCAATTATTGACGGTTACGGCGGCGTAGGTGAGACAGCGTGTCACACGGCGTGGATGTGTTGCATTGTGCGGCTGATCGGCGGCGTTACAGACGGCCTCATTATCCTCCTGAAAAGACGGCGACTCGCTCCGGCAGAGGGAGACGAACCCGAAGAAGAGAGTTAATTTGCACTCTTAAACTCGTCCTCCTCTGACATGTCGTCTTTATTTCCTGACGGAGCGGGTGAGAAAGCGAGCGAGGGGTCCAGGGCCCCTCAGTGAGCGAGCGTGATTGTGTCCGTGGCCTCTCTCTCTTTCAGCCACTTCCACCGTCATTAATTGGTGCTGTGGGATGAATCGGGTCCTTTCTACCTCTGGATGAGTGTGTGTGCGTGTCTGAGAGGTAATTGCTGTGAGCTTTAGAGGGCCAAAGTGTTGGTTTAAGGGCCCCTGACCTTTGACCCCCTGGCTAAAAGTTCCCCCTCCTTCCTTCTTTCTTTCTGTCACCGTGTGTGAATGTCTTTCTCTCACCTTGTTCGGCCCTCTGAGTGTGTGTTTTTGTGTTTTTGTGTGCGTCTTTGTTTGCAGTGAGGAGCGAAAGAAAAGACGAGGAGAGTTTCCTGGAGGAGTGAAAACCTGCAGAGATGATTTATTAAAACAAAAACTGTCCCGAGGGTTTTAGAGCTTTTTAACTTATTTATCTTTTCATCAGTCCAAACTTTAAAGAACTCTTTTATTCTGCCTGATTCTGAGACGTTTTTAGTTTGTAAAGTTTCATACGTATGACGGAGTGTTAGGGCCACATTAAGAAAAACAAAAAAAGGAAAATCATAAAATATAACAATAGGAAAAATCATAAAAATGTAATAAAATTATTACTTAGGATAATAAAGTCGTAAATAATTACTATCATTCCTGACGAGAATAAAGTCATATTGAAATCATTATGAGAATAAAGTCGTAAAAAAAATATAATTTACAAGAAATAAGTCTTAAAAAAATCATTACAACAATAAAGTCGTAATAAAATCATTATTGACCAGAATAAAGTCATAAAAAATCATTACTTAGAAAGTAACTTTGTAAAAAAATCATTACGAGAATTAAGTCGTAGTAAAATCACTACTGATGAGAATAAAGTTGTAAAAAAGAAATTACCAGAATAAAGTCGTAGTAATTCTCAATTAAATTTTATTTTGTAATGTGGTCCTAATACTCGGTTGTACATATGTACTTATTTAGATGTTCCTTTTTTAAATAACTTTTTTTCCTCTTTTTTACATTTGGACTTTTTTTTTCATCTCTGCAGATTTTACTTTCTATGAACACAGACGACAAACAGAGACTTGCTGTAGTTTTCACCTTCAACACTCAAACCCTGATTGTTTGTGTTTGCTAATCCCTACCTGTCTGTCTGTGTTTGGGTTAGTCTGTGTGTGTGTGTGTCAGTGTTTGCCCACAGCAGCGTGTCTGTTTCCACACTGTCAGCTGATAAAGATAAACTCGGATTTTTTGAAGCTCTCAGTCAGTCCTCTGGCTCTACTCTTGATTCTGTTTGTAGTCCAAGTCGTATTGACCAATCAGGAGTCAGCAAAAACAGTCAGTATGGAGAGCAAAAGCAGGAGGACCGTAATGACCTCCAGGACTCTAAGTTCTACTCAGACCTGACGTCACTCAGTCCGGTCTAGATTGTCCCGGTTCAGTCTCCTGTCCCTGGCACATCTTGTCTCAGCCCGTCCTCCTCCTGACTGTCTTCAGGTGTGTGTGTGTGTGTGTGAAGGAGTGTGTGGGGTCATGTTGGTGTCAGATCAGCCAGGTGCTGAGGATTAGTGTCGCCAAACTCTCTGTACCCTGAAGAGCAGCCGGGGTTTATCGCCAAAACACGAACAAAAACAGACGATTAGAGCTGCAGACTGGAGGCTTAATATTTAATATGACGATATTTATACAGCAGCGCAGACACACACACACACACACACACACACACACACACACACACACACACACACACACACACACAGGGACAGACACCTTCAGTTCTCATTCTCCTCAGTCTGATGGTTTTAGTTAAATCTTCGCACTGACCTCTCCGCTGTCTGAATGTGACTTTGCATGTTTACAGCAGCTCAGCGCGCAGACCCCAAGACAGGCTGTTTTCATGGAATCATACATTTTTATATGAAATTGCTCAGATGAATGTTTCAGACCTAAAAAGTAAATAATATAATACACTATAATTAAACATAGAAAGATAACAGCAGCTCAGCTCGCAGCCCCTCAATCATGCTGTTTTCATGGATGTGTCAGGAATCATACATTTATATATGAAACTGCTCTGGTAAATGTTTCAGACATAAAAGGTAGAGTATACAACACACTTTAATTAAACATAGAAAGATAACAGCAGCTCGGCTCCCAGCCCCTCAGTTACGATATAAAAGCAATAGAGGAAACAAGCAGCCAAATACAGTATGACACAATATGTTACAATACGATTAACATAAAATATGCTAAAATGAGACTGGACTACCAAGGTCAACTGGTGATAAATGCAGCTCAGCTCGCAGCCCCTCAGTCATGCCATATATTGACGTTTAGATACAAGCAGTGCACAATGTGCTACAATACAAGTGGATGCACTGAAAAAATCAGCATCAATAGCAGCTCAGCTTGCGGCCCCTCAGTCATGCCACTCAAGAGAAATAAAGAAATACTGTTCTTTACTCTACAAGCAGTGCTAAATACATTCTAGCTAAAAGTGATATGATGACACAACATGATGCATATCAATTAAACAAAGTGATAACTGCAGCTCAGCTCGCAGCCCCTCAGTCATTAAATCTACTCTGAAGTGACAGAGAGATGCAAATAATCAGTATGTCAAGGAAAGTCAGAAGCAACAACACAGACTGATGATACCAGCAGCTCAGCCTGCAGCCCACTGCTCAGGCCTCACTCCTTAAAGCATTAAAGAAATGCAGATTAGACTGAATCATATGTTCTGGTTATTTTAGATTTTCCTAATCTAGAGTATGAACAGGTGGAGCAGTAGAAGAAGAAGAGTGACAGCGGCGTGCAGCAGAAGATCGATCAACGTCCTGCAGCCTCTTTGGCTCATCTTACCTGACAGGAAGAGAGACGGATGGACCAAACTTTCCCACCAAACTGCTGTTTACAGGGGGGGGGGGGGGGGGGGTCAGGTTGGGGAAAGGTGAAAGGGGGTCGAGGTTAGAGAGGCTGCAGGTCGCTGGTCTGGATCTGGACAGTTGATTAAGGTGAGAATCACCTGAAGACATCTGCTGGTTCAGGGGCAGAGACGGTCTAAATTTTAACGTCTTTAAGAAGCTCTGATACCAAGTCCTGAATCCAGGGGTCAGGTGGTTCAACTCTGCAGGACTGAACCGGGTCAGAAACCTGCAAATGTTCAGACTAAAATAGAAGCAGGTGTTTTGTGAAAGTCCACTGAGTGTTGATACTTGAGTCTAAACAGCAAAGAGTGGTAGAAGAGCTCCGGCTCTCCAACAGAACAGCTGTGGTTATTTTAAGTTCTGATTAATTATGTCTCCGTAAACCTTCATCAGCTGTGAAACCTCAGACTTTACAAAAACACGACGCAGAGTCGAAGGAAAAGACCATGAACCGGGGAGAAAGGGAGCTAACCATCACTATCAATGATGTCCATCACTTCTGTTGGTGTTTAAAGAGTTAATGCTTCTTCAACAGATCCGGGTGTGAATCTGCGTTTACTCACAAATAAAGATAAAGGCGTTGAACGCAGAAACGAGAGCAGAACCCGTGAAAACAGAGGAAACTGATCCGATACAAACAGCTGCAGCCGGGTCCATTTCCTCAAAGTAACAGAAGACTACAGATTTGTAAAAGAAGTCCAGGAGGTGGAACCTTCAGGTACTTTGGGTTTTAATAAAGTTCACATTCAGGACTTGGTCCAGCTCTTGGTTTAGGCTCAGACTCCGACATGTCTCCTCGGTCTGATCTGGACTTTCTGACTCACAAAACTCCTGATATCGGGGCGCCGTCAGCGGTTAAAGAGTTCTGCAGGTCTTCTCTGGGTATCAAGAGTCTGTAAAAGAAGGATGGGGGGTCAGAGCGGTCAGTTATCAGGTCCACCAGAGAAGGTCCAGGAGGGGAAAACTGGTCAGGTCATGACTGGTGGATACGCCGTTTTCGTCTTCTTCCTCTTCTTCTACTTCTTTTACCTTTACCTCTACTTCTTCTACTACTTCCTTTTCTTTTCTTTCTTCTACTCTACTTCTTCTCTTTCTTCCTCTTCTTCTACTTCTTTTACTTCTACTTCTTTTTTTCTTCTTCTCCTACTCTACTTCTTCTACCTCATTTTCAGCTTCTTTTACTTCATTTTTTTACTTCTTCTACTTTTTCTTCTTGTACTTCTACTTCTTTTTCCTCTCTTCTTCCACTTCTCCTTCTTCTCCTTCTGACATTAACGAGGAGTGTTTTAACCTGATTTATTAACTCGTCAGAAAACGAGAGAAAACCCGAAGATCGAAAACTTAGAGTAGTTTTTTTGAGTTTAACTGAAAAAACGGCAAAAAGTTCGCAGTTAGTTATGGAAACACACACACACACACACACACACACACGCAGAGTCACAAAAATACCTATGGGCTCACACACACACTTGGTTAGGACAGTGATGAGTGTGTTTAGCTCGGAGGGAGGGAGGTGGAGGGGGATCTGCAGGTCGAAGAGTGGGGGTGAGGAGGTGGAGGGGAGGGGGGGGAGGTAACTTTAGCTGTTAATGATGGTGGGAGGGGTGGGGGTGGGGGGGTACAAATGACTTGAAGAGAGAGAGAGGGGAGGTAAGATGATCCAGGTTGGACTCACCCTTAAAAGCAACAGCACCTATTGTCCCTGCAGGCTGAGTGTGTGTGTGTGTGTGTGTGTGTGTGTGTGTGTGTGTGTGTGTGTGTGTGTGTGTTGACAGGATGGCAGGTTCGTTATGAATCATCTCCTCCTCCTCCTCTTCCCTCTCTTCGGCCCCCGAGGGCGACATTAGCTTTAGAGCGAGCTGTCATGTTCAAGAGAGGAGCGCTTGTTTTGTTGTACCCAAAGAAAGGAAACACTGTGAAAACATACACATGTACTTAGAGCCGCAAAGTATGTAAACAAGCCGGCCGGGGCTGACAGGTACGCACACGGCGGGACACCGGGAGGGAGCGCTTGGTTGGCGTTGAGGAGGGAGAGACAGAAACACCGGGAGGTGATTTAGGAGGAGGAGGTATGTCAATACACACAGGGAAGTCAGGGGAGCGCTTGTTTTGTTGTGGCCAGAGAAAGAACAACACACTCATGTACTTAGTGAGGGCAAATATGTAAATACACCAGCCGGGGTCGAGTTTCAGCGTAACTGGAGAGTCTGACGGCTCGTCATTTCACTTCGCTGGAATATTCGTCTTTGAGGAAACTCGAAATGAAACTCGGCCGTCACAAAAAGAGATTTAAAATGAAAAAAATGAGAGTCTCAGTTTCTTCTTGAGAACTTAGAGACTCACCAGAGTGAAATCAGAGACGTGGATCATCCTGAAACTGAAGAGAGTCGTTCACTACAAGGTAAAGTCCAAATCGAACCAACGAACGAAAACAAGCAACGAGAGCTGGAAAATAAAAAAACAAAACTGCAGTTCCTCAAGTGTCCACTAGAGGCTGTCTCCAATCATGAGTTGACCCCCATAGAGTCTCATCTTAAAGGGATATTCCAGTGTAAAATTAATTTAGGGTCAAACCCACCGTAACACCGAGTTAGACCCCCCCTCCAGAGATGAATGTTGTCGACCGCTTGCTTCTCTAGTTATACCAACTTTAGTAACGACCGCAGGATAGAAATACAGAGAGCCACGCCCCCAACCAAAACGCCACTCTATAGCCACAAATAATGCTCAGAACAGCACCTAACTTAGCGAAGAGACTAAACACAACTCACCTACTCTCTTCCAGCAGCCGTTTGTTTGTAGTGAGACCTCAGGCCAGTCCATTACAGACTACAGCGGGGTGCCGCAGCTCAAGGAAGAACATTTATGATCATTTCTTCATCATTTCCTTGAAGTAATAATCACCATATTAATCATTTTACAGACGCTGTAGTTCTTCTGTCTTAGCGTCTCGGTCTGATTGTATTTCCATGAAGATTGATATCCTAGACGACAGGAGGAGGTTACAATAGCTCCCTTTAAATTGTATTAGCCCCGCCCCCTAATGACACGCCCCTTTAATCCTTGATAACAAGTCCAGCCTTTACAGTCATTAAAGCAGAAATGAGCTACAGAGCCCCAGAACTGTGTTTGTACCAGACTTTAGTTTAACATGGAGCTCTATGGGGACTGACTCACCACAGGAGACGGCCCCCAGTGGACATTCAGGGAACTGCAGCTTTGGCTTCACTTTGAATCGCAGCTGATTGAAGGTTTGGGTTTAAAAGCGAAGAGAAAATAATAAACAACCTGTCCATCAGGAAGCCCTCCACCTTGCAGTGCATGCTGGGATTGATTGTTTGCGCGCTGTTTGTTTAAATGTTAACAGTAATAAGAGAAACACAAACACACACAGCATCAGACAGCCGGGATCCTGGAGGGAGTGTTTCTTTTGTTTTTGTTTACTAAAGAGAAAACACAAGTGCAGAACTCAGGGCAGGGAAGTATGAAAATACACACAATACACAACACACACACACCGACACACACGCACACACACAACGACACACTCATACAAAATCACACACACGCACAAAGAATGACTGTTTTGTTGTCCTGAGAGAAAAACACAGTATAAACAAAACCAAACAGAGAGAAACTGACAGTGTTCTCACACACACACACACACACACACACACACACACACACACACACACACACACACACACACACACACACACACACAGGCGGAGTGAAGAACAATAGCTCTGATTAATTTCTCAGATTTCGTGACCGCGGCGTCGGAGGCGTCAGAGTGAAAAAAAGAAACGTTGCTGTTGTGAAACAAACACGGCGGCGCCGGCCAGCGAAACAAACACACCCTGACTGTGAGACGGCGAGAGGTCAGAGGTCACCGGAGGAGACGACGGAGAGATGGAGGGAGACGGAGAGGGAGGAAGATGAGGGAGGAGAGGATGGAGGGAAGGAGAGAAGGAGAGGGAAGGAAGGAGGGAAGGAAGGAAGGCAGGAAAGAAAGAAGGAAGGTAGAAAGGAAGTAAAATGACAGAGGAGAGGATGAAGGGAAGAAGAAAAGGCAAAGGAAGGAAGAAAGGAAGGATGGAAGATGAGAGAGGAGAGGATGGAGAGAAGGAAGGAAGGAAGGATGGATGATGAGAGAGGAGAGGATGGAGGAGGAGAGAAAATCCAAAGGAAGGAAGGAAGGAAGGAAGGAGGAAAATGAGAGAGGAGAGGATGGAGGGAAGAAGAAAAGGTAAAGGAAGGAAAGAAGGAAGGAAGGAAGGAATGAGAAGGAAAGGATGAAGGAAGGAAGGAAGGAAGGAAGGAAAATGAGACAGGTGAGGATGGAGGAAAGAAGAGAAGGAGACATGAGTAGGAGGACATGAGGAGACATGAGTGAAGATCCACAACAGGAACCTTAATGGGGGACAGACCTGACAGTCCAGGACTGAATCCCTCTCTCTGATTGGTTCCTGCACTGATTCAAATGTCACTAATTCTTCAGCTCAGACAGCGGCGCCGTTAAACGTCCTCCAGCCAACAGGGGGCGCTGTGACTAGGATCAAGAATAACTGTTCCAAAAACAAGGATTCTGGACTTCCTGTTGACGTTTCTCTGTGACTTTTAGAGAGTTTTTAAAAAGTTTTGTTAAGATGTTTAAGAGCAGCAAAAGTCGTTTCCAGAGGGGCGGAGCTTTTGCTGAGGGGGGCGGGGCTTTAGTGAGTCAGTTCTCTCAACTTTTTTCACCAGATTGGATTTTTGAGGAAAGTTTAATGACTTTTTGGCCACTTTTTAAAAAAAAAGTATGATTAGAATAAAATGAACAACTCTTTACAAGACACACACACACACACACACACACACACACTCACTCTCACACACACACACACACACACACACACACACACACACACACACACAGCTGCAGTGTCGTGGTCTGTCTCCCTGCCAACTATGTGTGCAGTCTCTCTGTCAGGACATACCTGAGACTGATAAAGACTCAGTGTGTGAGTGTGTGTAAGTCAGTGTGTGTGTGAGTGAGTGAGTGTGTGTGTGTGACAGGTCCTTGTTCCAGGTGAGTTGTTTCCTGATGAGTTGAAGAGGAAGAAGAAGAGTTTTCTGTATGAATGAGATCTTTGTGTGTGTGTGTGTGTGTGTGTGTGTGTGTGTGTGTGTGTGTGTGTTGGCTGTCAGTCATCCCTCTGAATCGTCATTATCTCCCCTGTTGCATTCAGGCGTCCTCACACACTGTGGGAATTCATGACTTCACCAGGATTCACTGAGACGGTCAGTCAGACTCTGGAGTGGAAGTCACCCATTTGGATCCAGAACCACCAGAGACTCTCTGGACCTGAGTCCATTTAAGGTGGACTGAGGGGACCAGGAGAAAACTGGACCTTTGAGACATTTCGACTGACCCCTAATTTTAGGAGACGATCAGGATGAAGGTGGAAATTGGGGGTAACACTCTTTTGAAAGGACAGTTGGACTTACTTGTCCAACTGTCCTTTCAACGAAGACCTGGAAATCATAGATGCTGCATCCTCAGTTTCAAACAATATCTCCAGGTTTAGGAGCAACATCTACATGACTTTTTCAGGGAAGACAATAACAAACTACATCCTCTATCAGGCCAGATTAGAACAACATTTGACCGTCAGACTCCAGAACCCGGTCTACTGGGTTCACTAAGGTCTCCAGAACCTGGAACGACCTTTTAGAAACATGTTTCCGACTTTAGATTTAAAATAAGCTCCTATTTTAAACCTGATAATATGTTTTCCCTGAATTATTAAACGGTTTATAAAAAGTGAAAATGCGTGTTTTCGTCAGGTCGTCTTAAATGAAGCGTCTGGACGTCTTTGGGCGAAAACCTCGAAGTCTGAGCTCCTCCTGGGTGATGAAGAAACATCTGAAATTACTCAGCCAACAGAATCAGAACATTTCTTTTCGCCTCGTGTTAAACTGTCTCTCTCAATTATTCAGCACAGATGAATAAAACATTGACGTCCCGCCCTGGAACATGAACAATCAAAACTTCAAACTCAGCTGTCTCCAGAATTTAACGTCTTTGTTTCTCCTCTGAATCGGCGCTCCGGTCTAAACCGCACAAACATATTCGAGTGTGTCCACAGACTTTCTCTCAGAGATCGATGGTTATCACAAAAGTGAAAATGCGTGTTTTCGTCAGGTCGTCTTAAATGAAGCGTCTGGAGCTTCTGTCGGCCAACAAAACAAACGCTCCTCCTCAAAGGAAACCAAACAGATACCTTCCTCTCCTCCTCCTCCTCCCTGTTTTCTCTCTGATTACAGAGCACGACCTGCCCTTCCTCCTCCACCGATGAAAACAAGTCTTTGACTCGAACCGACGGCGCGAACTCAACAATCAAAACTTCAAACTCAGCTGTCTCCAGTATTTAACGTCTTTGTGTGTTTGCGGGGCGGGAGGAGAAGACGAGAAGGGCAGCGGGATCAGGAATCCAGGAGGTTTCTGGGATGTGGTCACGGGTTTGATGAGGTCTGAGGAAGATGAGGCTCAGCGGCGAAGATGAAGCGAACCGAAGGAACACGGAAAACAACACCAGAGTCTGTCTGTGAAGTTTGAAGCAGATCGATCATCAGGATCAGCTTTTTATTGGTCCATAAAGTTCGTTAAAAAGTGAGTTACTTTGCCGACCTATTGCCCCGCCCCTAGCTCTGTCTGATTGGCTAGATGTCACATGACTGTATGACATAACTGTCACTAACAGACGTGTCTTTTGATGCGACAGAAATGATCCCTACAGAGAAAAATGCTTTTATAAAACCAGAAAATGACTTTCTATCGCTGTCTTTACAGCTACCAAACTCCATTGACAAAAACAGTAATTTTACTTCAGAGGACACAGGAGTTTCTGGTCTGCTGCTGCCTCTGTTAGTCATATTTTTGAAGTTTAAATCAGTTATTTTCGATCATTTGAGGTATGAGTGAAACAAACTTAACACAAAGAAAACTTGGAAAAGATGCAGAGGTAGACCAGCAGCTCCTGTTTTCTGAGAGGTTAAATCGGTGGTTTTGTCAATGAAGTTTGGTGGCTTTGAAGGAAGCATTACAACAGCTGTCTCGATCACCTCTGAGGTCTTTCAGTCACAAAAAGAAGCTCAACCAACTCACTGAGGACAAAAGAAGAAGCTCAAAGTTGAACAAGACAACACTGACCCCATTATCTACCTGCCTCACACACACAAAACACACACACAAAACACACACACACAAAGACACACACACCTTTCTGTGAACGCTGGCTGGATCCCAGAGAGGTGAGAGAAACGCTATTAGCACCCTGGGCGTAATTACAGCGACTCAGGTGACATCTTACACCGGCTGGAAATAAAGAGTGTGTGTGTGTTTGTGTGTGTGAGTGTGTGTGTGTGTGTCGGCTGTCATGTTTGTGTGGGCTGAACTCTCCTCACAGGGGAGGAAAGTTAGACAACAAAGGAGATGGAGGGTAAATTTGAGGGAGGAGAAGAAATGAGCCGACATGTCGACTTTCTGAAGACCTGAACCTGATCCACCTGTGCAGGTGTGTGCGTGTGAGAGAGTGTGTGTGTCTGTGAGAGTGTGTGTGTGTGTGAGAGATGGAATTCACAAAGATGAGCAGAGGCTTGTAGGTGTGTTGAGGTGTGAATCTGTCTCAGCTCAAGTTTTTGGTTTTTCTTACTAAAGACTCCGCTCCGTTATAAACGAACCTCCAGGTCCGGGTGTTACTATTTACACGGCACATTTCAGCCAAGACAAGAAACACTTCTGTTACAGACACTTGTCTTACTTTGTTAAAGCGGTTTACCTGTCCAGCAGAAAGGTTACAGGGTCACCAAGATCCCCAAGCGTCCCCCATGGTTTATGTTGACCCGGCTTTTTAGCTCTTGTCCGGTCTACCTCCGTTTTAAGCGCCCGTTATTCCTCCAGAGTCTCAGCTGTTTTATACTGTGTGAATCATGGACATGTAGAAGTATCAGACAGCATGCAGAGTGGACAGATAGCTTCTATTAACCCAGTGATTCTGAACTGGTCTCACTCTGGGACCCACATTTTCCCATGATCCTTCAGTCGCGACCAATTTTTATAAAATTCAAACCAAGAAAATTAATTTTTTAATGTATAAAAAAACTTTAAAGACTCAAATCTTTAACATAAATACACAAAGTTTATTAACTAAAGTGCATTTCAGAGCACATGAACTGAGCACATGCCTTTCAAAATAAGGTATTTTTCAAAATAAAAGACATGTCAAACATCATATGCGCATTAAATGTTTACTTTTTTTGACCAGCTGTTTGCGACCCATCCAGAACTTGTCCGGGACCCACTTTTGAGTCTGGACCCACCAGTTGAGAACCACTGTAATAAACCATGTACGTAATGAACCCTCAGCTGTAGGATACTGTGAGCAGGATGGACTCTGTTTTATCGAAATATGAATCACTCCCAGACTTAATCGACAAACAAACCGAGAAAAACGTTTAAACAAACGGCGAGCACGTGTAAGGGCGTTAGCGTGGAGCTGCAGAGTCAGCGTGGCGTGCACACGTGGAGGATTTAGGAGGTTAAAAAGGAGCGAACCGAGCGTCTGTGTGTGTTCAATATTCATACAAATGTGTGTGTTTGTACCTACAGGTATCATGTGGTGTGTGTGTGAACGCTCCTGTGTGATCTCTGTCTCACACACACACACACACACACACACACACAGAGTTAAACAGTGACTGATGGCTCCTCTGTGTAATGAATGTAAAGGCCGTATTGTTCATTTCAGCAGCGTTCACATATTAGTGTCGGGCCCCGGGGCCAACGAGACGGCTAATGCCGGGCTCAGCTTTCCACCGCCACTTCAAAGAGAGAGAGGGATGATAAAACGAGGTTCACTAATAGAGACATTCACACAAGAACAACACACACACAATGAAGCGTCCACAAACACACACCTGTACGAGGAAGTACCGCCCACCCGAGCGGTGCGAGGCTGATTCCACCTGGATATTACCACCCGAGGGCTGAAGTTCACGCTCTCTCGCCGCTCGCTCTGACTCTGGGAAACGGCGGCGGCTTTAATGAGAGCAGGAAAAGAGTCGAAACGAGGAGCTGACACGCTCTGTAAAAACTGCTTTTAGATGTTTAAAGTCAGTCAAGAGGGAATTACGGCTCAAGAGCGGGACTGTATGACTGTGGTTAGTTCATGTGCCGGCAGAACAGTGGGACATCTGAGCGTCGGAGGAGCCGAAGTCGCAGATTAAACACAATCTCTTCAGCTCTAATGTGTATATTTAATCAGCAGTATTGTGAGATATTTAAGAGGAAATATTAAGAGCAACTCTCGACGTGAAGAAAGGAACACACGTGTGCGCGGAGCGGGAACACACACACGTCACTCCATCCCATAAATGACGGTTATAATCAAAGGTCATGTGACGTGTAGATGAGATACTCTGCAGGTGTGTGGAGCTGAATTACTCCTCAGTGTGTGAGTGGAGCGTTCGGCTGTATTTCACTGTATTATTATCATGATTGCTTCATGGAGAGCGTGACATTCTGCTTCATGTCTTTGTTTGAGAAATGTCAAAAAATAATGAACAAAAATGTGTCAAGTGATTGCTCCGTAACTCCAACCACAATAGATTCCCCCGTTTCAGAGACGCAGAGGTCTGGAGCTCAGGTTCGAGTATTTTCGCTCAGTGTTTGTTCGGCGTAAACTCAGATCAGAGGGAGAAGATCGACTTTAAAGGGGCGCGAGTAAAATCATCTACTCGCTTAATTCGCGCGAATGAAAAGGATTTACTCGCTTAATTCGCGCGATTGATTCGTGCATCATTAGAGTGCTTAAAAGCGTCGGATAGCCGTTTATGCTAATTTTAACGGTTTACCAGATAATCTGACCTCCTCACTCACTTTTATTAAAAAGTCGTTGATACGAGAGAGGGGCGGAGTCTCCATCAAGCATGGTAGGAGTGAACCACGTTCAACAGATTGCTGCTCCAACAACCGTCAGAGATGTAGGCGCGGCCACGTCTCAGTCTCCTCCAATAGATGCGCCCAGATGACAGCCGTTTCCAGCGGTATTTGCGGGGTTACCCAAACCCAATTTGACAACTTGTTGGTGGGGTTGGTGCCAGGATATCCCTCCAGGATACCGATTACAGTTTGTTCGGCGTAAACTCCACAGGAGAACGAGATCAGAGGGAGAAGATCGACTTTAAAGGGGCACGAGTAAAATCATCTACTCGCTTAATTCACACGAATCTAGTCACGCGAATGAAAAGGATTTACTCGCTTGATTCGCGCGAATGATTCGTTCATCAATGGTGATCCACGCCAAATCAACTGGCAGGATTAAGTGATAGACGATGTTTTTCACAGTTTACCAGATAATCCGAACTCCTCACTCACTTTTATTAAAAAGTCGTTGATTCGAGAATACGAGAAAGAACCCAGTTTGATGACCTGTTGGTGAAGGTCGGTACTGCGATATCCCTCCAGGACACTGATTACAAGCGCTCTATCCCAGCTGCAGAGCCGGGAACCTTCACGCTGATTGGTTATCGTGATGCAAATATCCGCTCAAGTTGAGATATTTTCAAGTCACGCAAATTCATGTCCACTCACTTCACGCGAAAAACTTGCCCAATTCACGTCATTCGCGCCACCAGAGTAGTATGAGCGTCTTATCGCGTCTTTGCATTGACTTTACATGTAATTCATTCGCACGAATGATTTTACTCTTTTGTTTACATTTTGCTCTTCATTGTATTGAACCTTGCTCTTTATTGTAAAAGAACCTTAGCCATTGTATTCTATTTTATTTATTTTTACTCTTGACTTGGAAACGGACCTGGGTACTGATTACGTACCACAGACTGTCAAAGGTTTGGGGTGTGACAAATGAAGTTCCTTGAATCCTTGAATCCTTGAATCCTTGGTGTGAACTTGGTAGTAGTGTGGCTTGATTTTGCTGGCCTGCCTGAAGTAGCTCCGTCCTCGTTAAGATCAGAGTCTAGACCTGAGCTTCAGTCCAAGTGTCTCGCTCTTAGTCTCAGTTTCACCGTCTCCTTCTAAGGTGAAGAAGTCACTCAGTCTGCAAACAGCAGAGGTAGAGGGTCACTTCTCACCTGTAGGAGGTCACTCGGACTGTCACCTTGGAAAAGGACCACTGGGGGTCGAGCGTCGCCGTGGAAACTAATACAAACCGCAAGGAACCCAAAACGCCAGAGGAACTATTAAAATCAACGCCGTTCAACTTTTGAGTCTTTAACGCACACCTGTCAATCACCTGCTGCACACACACACACACACACACACACACACACACACACACACACACACACACACACACACACACACACACACACACACACACACAAGAATGTAAAGAGAGAGAGAGAGAGCACTGCTGTTGACCTCTCTCTTTCTTTTGTCTCTTTGAGCAGAAATTTTTGCCCTGAGTGCTGGATACATGATCCCACCCAAACTTTGCTACCACACACACACACACACACACACACACACACACACACACACACACACACACACACACACACACACACACACACACACACATTCCTGCAGGACAAAGACAGGGGAGTGAGGTCTGTCAGAGTCAAATGTCAAACTGCTCTTAGCTGCTGTTTCCTAAACACTCCTGTGGTAATGACTTCAAATAGTACAGAAAACATGTCCTCTGTTAGAGTGTGTGTGTGTGTGTGTGTGTGTGTGTGTGTGTGTGTGTGTGTGTGTGTGTGTGTGTGTGTGTGTGTGTGTGTGTGTGTGTGTGCGCGAGTAGAGGAGGAGCAATTGGGCGTAAAAGAGGGAGAAAGAGAGACAGAGAGAGATGAACTTTAAGCTCTTGAGAAATAAGTACTTCTAATTGGTTTGAATTGAAAAAGCATCAACAGAGAGAGAGAGAGAGAGAGAGAGAGGGAGAGAGAGAGAGAGAGAGAGAGAGAGAGAACGGTGGGAGTGATGAAAAACGTCGGAAGAAAAGGAGAGTTTGATGAAAAGTTCAAAGTTTGACTTAAAGAGGAAGACGAGTCGTTCAAGAGCAGAGAAGAGAGTGGGAAAACAGAGTGATGAAGACAGACGACAGAGAGAGAGAGAGAGAGAGGTAAAGACTGAAGTGATGGATGGATGAAACAATGAAAAGAGAGACTGAGCACAAGAGCTAGAAAGAACTATGAGTTCTGGTTGCCGTTGGTTACAGGTTGTTGTTGTTGTTTCTGGTTGCCGTTGGTTACAGGTTGTTGTTGTTGTTTCTGGTTGCTGTTGGTTACAGGTTCTTTAAGTCCCCTGTCATAAGTCTAGTTTCCTGTTTTCCTCCCTTAGGTCTGGTTGCCATTGGTTACAGATTGTTGTTGTTCCTGGTTGCCGTTGGTAACAAATTGTTGTTGTAGTTTCTGGTTATTAGTCCAGTTTCCTGTTTTCCTCTGTCAGTCCTGGTTGCCATTGGTTACAGATTGTTGTTGTTGTTTCTGGTTGTCGTTGGTTACAGATTGTTGTTGTTATTTCTGGTTATTAGTCCAGTTTTCTGTTTTCCTCTGTCAGTCCTGGTTGCCGTTGGTTACAGGTTGTTGTCGTAGTTCCTGGTCATTAGTCCGGTTTCCTGCGTTCATCCTTCAGGTCTGATTGCCGTCGTTGGTGGCGTTGCCGTACCTCGCCGTCTCTGTGACATTTCCTCTTTTATTTATTTCTGTCTGTTATTATTTCGTCCACACGGCGCCGCAGAGGTAAAAACACGCCGCGCTCGTATGCAGACTGTGTTAGCTTCACATCGAGGCGTGACATTTCACAAATGTAAAATAAATTGATATGGCCCAATTAGATTGAAGCCACCGCCGTCCTCCCCCGTCTCCCTCAGCCTCTCGCCTCGTCCCAAATTGCTTTGCATTTTGCCCGCTCGCGTTCGGAGCTCTTAATTATATGGTGTTGTGTGGCGGCATTTGGCTGGAACAGCGAGGAGCCGCTGAGAGCTGCAGCGTGGCGGTTAGCCGGCGCGGCTAGGACGCGGCTAAAAGCTTATCCCGGCGGGGGAGAGGAGGGAGGACGGAGGAGAGGAAGACGGCCCGCGCACGGGAGAACAAAGAGGAAGGCCTCAGCTGGACGGCTGGAGGAGGATGAGGAGGCGCGCGGCGGGAGGAAGAGGAGGAAGTTAGAGCTGCAGAGTGTGTTTGTGTTGATACTCGTGTACTTATGAGGACCAGGTGACCTCACAGAGACGGTAAAACAACGTTAGAGGGAGGAGAAAACAAAGGTGGACTCAGACAAGAGGAGGAAGAGGAGAAGGAGAAGGAAGAGGAGGATCCTGAACGCACCGTTGTCATCATTGTCTGGATGGACGCAGATGTTGCTCCTAAACCTGTAGATATTGTTTAAAACTGAGGATGCAGCATCTATGATTTACAGTTCTTTGTTTAAAGGACGACTGGACTTGAGGCGAAACGTCTCAACTAAGTCCAGTTGTCCTTTCAAAATAAAGTCCCAGTCATGTTACAAACCCGACCCAGGTTAACCTCATTAACTTCCTGCGGTCCTTTTCAAAACATCAACATAGAAAACAAATACACAATTAGTGTGTCAGCGTCGTTGTCGTTAGTAACAGCTAAAATCTGATCAGTTTAAAAAACACTGAATCATGAGAGCGCACTGAAATAAACAACAATTACCACCGACAGGATTTAATCGAAAAAACAACAACAGCTTAGACAACCACGTCACGGAGAACGGAAACACAAACAACAACAGAG